GGTGACCCTGCTTCGGCAGGAGGGTTGGACTAGATGACCCACAGAGGTCCCTTCCAACCCCTACTGTTCTGTGATTCTGTGATTCTGTGATTCTGTGAGTGTCGTCAGGAAGGTCAGTCCTAGAGACTGTAAAGCAAATAGTCATATATAAAAATCTAAGCACATGGCAATTCACTACCCCTAATAAGTTATTTTGAATTATATTCAAAAGATGTCATAAGCTTCTCATTTGTATAAATTATCTTGATATAAATAGTATATATAAGATGGTCTTGAAAAAACCTGATATTAAAAAGGTGTTGCCAACCCATATAAGCAGCCGCTTTGTATATCGATAAATGATTTTACTTGATCCCAAGTCATGTGCTGCATGTTTTACAGGCAAACTTAAGGGAGCTCTAGTTCCATACCCAAAGAACTTACAGTCTGAGACTCAGGACAGCAGTATGCCAGGAGTTAATAAGACAATACTCAGTTCATGGGCACCAAATGCAATCTTGTTTTACACTTTTACATCTTTGTTTTGAGTACAGAGATGGCTGCATTTGCTCCCCAAGGAGTATAGTTGCTTTCAGTGGCCCTGAATGTGCAGTCATAAGCCTCAGATGGATGTACAAGATGGGGCTTGGGATTCCTATGCCACATTCCCTCATGGTCTATATTTCCCAATGTATTGATAAAAAAGAAATTCTATGTACAGTTTTCTGGGCATGTACTTAGTGCAATATGTGGTCTTGTACATATGACCACATATTTAACCACACATATACCTTTTTTATCTACAAACTGATTTTTTTCTGAGCATTCAGAATTTTTTTTAGAATCAGATAGAGTTGCCTGCTTTTTTAGTAAACTTTCCATAAACAATGTGTTAAATCTTCTGCATCAAATTATCCTGCATATAGAAGTAAAGTTTATTACCCTATTTTATGCAAAACATTTAGGAAGGGAAATTCTGCATCTCTTCTGTCCCATCTCTGCTGTTTTGATCAAATGCTTATTTGTCTCTGTTTTCTTAAGTGCAAAGTGAGCTCAAATGAGTTGGGAGAGAAGAGTGGTTTGTTTGGGTTTTTTCTGAAGAAAGAGATGTTTAAAAAGGAAGCAGATTGAGAATCTGCACTGCAAAACATCTGTTGATTAACAAAGGAAAAAATAAATCCTGCAAAACAATCCCTCTTGTAGTAATTTGACTAAAAATAGAATAGAATTTTGTATGGACATATAGCACTTGTGTACTGTAAGTGACCTGCCTGCGAGAGGATCTATATACTGTGATCTGCATCTTTTAAAATGTTGCAAAGTAGCACTCTTGGTTTGCCAGGATATGTAATGATATTTTTTAATGTTAAGTCTACAGTGAAAAAAAGGATGAACTTTGAAGAACTAACCTCTTCTGACTGACAGTAATAGACAGCTCTTTGGTGTTGTCTGTTAAATAACGTGGTTGCTTTTACTGAATTTTCCTAGTGTCTGTCTGTGGTTGTAGCCACCTCTTGCTCTCTAAAGCATGGAATTTTAAAATAAAATATACATGTCCTGTATCCTGCTCTGTCCTCTTTTTTTCACTATGACAGGTCTCTAAATAATAGACATAATAGGCTTATTCACAGTAAAATACATATTCTGTCTGCTTATTAAGTTCTGAATATACTTTCCTTCCAAAGGGGTTTCCCTTGCAAATATATAGATGTGAATTTACCTTGCAAGTGGCCTAGTTACCAAGAGCAAAGTGGGCTGCTGTGACTTATCTGTTCTCTCTGGACTAGTTCCGTAATGGCACTCTGAGCTGCCATTCCATTGCTGCACTTGTACTTTTTCCACTGCTCAATGTACAATTTTTGTGAAGGGTTAAGTTCATTAAAAGTAAATGAGAAAAGTTAAGACAGAACTTTAGAATAAGAAGCCTATTAAGTAATTAGTAAATGCAATGCCATAACATAGGGGAAAATGAACACATTTGCCATACTTGAAGCATTTTGCAAATGGAGAGAGAATATGTGTATTAAGAGGTTGTTTCTCACTCTATTTGTATGTCTAAATTAAAAGCATTGTTTCCTTGAATGATACTTGTGTTTCTTGGCAATGGCATGTGAAAATCTGCTAATACTGATACTGAAAATCTGCAGGATACTCGAATTGCAATGATTAAATGGCCATCTTATCACCTCCTGACTGAAATTATCGCAGGCTCGTTAAGAATATAGCTTTATATTGCTTCAGACATTATTTTTTAAGTTGCAATAATTTGCTTAATCAACAATTAGTTGTATTTAAACTTGTGGTAAGGTGCAGTCTCTTACAAGGAACATATGCAATTCCATTTTACTGAAGTATTTCTTGTATAATTGAATCATCAAATACAAGCTGTAGATGATGAACACAGTGTCATTCTTTCCATGTAACTTTTTGCATATCGTCTGTAGAAAGCCACTGTAGATTAAACTTTGTGTCCCAGTGGAAGATCTAGAAGTCACTGAAATAATAATATTTCTTCTGCCTCATGTTCAGCTGACATGGAGAATAGCCTACGAGAACCACGTCATAGCCCGAACAGTGTCAGTGCCTTGTAGAAAACAGACTGAGAGGACTAACTTTGAGAAGATATTACACAAAACTGTCAACAACTGGTTGTCTTTTGAAAAAAGTATTATTCTTTATAATCTGTTGAAAGGTGTTGGGTTTTTTAACTGGGAGGATAATGAATCTGATAAGAGAGAAACTTACTTTTGAATAAAAAGATCTCATAATGCTAATTTCAACCTGACAGGACCTACAATCCTACAAACGTGTTGTCATTTGAATTCTTTCCAGATAGAAAGGTGCAGCAGCTTAGAGTACTGACTATGAAATTATGTATATGAGCATATCTTAAAAACGGGAATAAAACTGTCTTTCAGTGAAGCAGAATAATTTGATAGTGACACTCCATGCCTGGAAACTGTAAGATGCAATTTTTCACTGCTTTGAGTACAAGTACCTTTTGAGCTGTCATGCAGAAATGGTTTCTCTGCTTGAAAATAGGGTTTTCCTTTCATCTTTCAGGGATGTGTGCCTGTCACTCTCCATTGCCATCAATACAAGGAACAGTGATTGTACTTGGGGCAGGAGACACTGCTTTTGACTGCGCAACATCTGCTTTACGCTGTGGAGCTCGTCGCGTGTTTCTGGTCTTCAGGAAGGGATTCACTAATATCAGGGCCGTCCCAGAAGAGGTAAAATTGAATAACAGCATTTATGAGAAGGAATATTGGTTGTTATTTCTACAGGGCCTCAAAGTCTGCTATAGGTACTTAAAAGACATCTACTGAAAGTTTTTTTTTTATAAAAGTGCTCCCAAAATGTATAAATGTTCATTAAAGATCAGAGGCTCACTTTATACAGTTTCTGTATAAACAATTTCCTCTGCTGTACCAGTTTCCTATAAAGTCAGAGAGATGCATTTTGCATACGGGGGGTAGGCTTTCTTGTAGATTAGAAAATGCAGTAAAATTTTTAGTCTTGGAAGCATCCCCGAGATCAAACAGCCACTTGAGTATTGTAGATAACTCTTCGGGTCGTGCTTAGATCCTAGAATGATACCTTCTGGCTGCTATCTAATGAATCTCAGTGATCCTGACGTTGCCTTGGGAGCCTATAAAATCTTGTAAGAAAATTGCTTAAAGTGATTTTGGTTTTGAATCACTGTCAATGGCAATAGAGCAATGTCATTCATCATGGATTTCAATGTTCAGTTTGATTTTTAGTTTGGCTTTGCACTTTGGCATTTATCAGGACATCTGCATGTTTTCAAACTGACTGCTTTCTCAGTGTACTACAGCAGGGTTTTTTTTGGGTTAGATTTTATTACTTTGGTGGTCTTTTTCCATTATCATCTATCTGGTACATACTTTTACATACTTGAGGATATCAGGACATCTGATGCATCTTTATAATGAGATTTGTGGTACTTTGGTCATCTGAGTCAAGAAAGTGAGAAGAGATCTTATAAAAGGGGAATCGAGGTGCACAAAAAGTAATAGGGGGTCTCTTGATGCTGAATTTGCTTCTGTTTCTGTTGCACTTAATTTAAGAATTCTGGACTGAAGCCATTGCACAGGCTCACTCATGCACTGTTCAAATTCATGCTAATGAAGAATCAGCAGCCTGGGTAAATTCCTGAAAGTTGGCAATGTCAATGCATCTAATCATGCAGTGGCCTTGAAAAAAAGTAAAATAAAGGTAGCTTCAGCTAGTAATAGCCATGCTAGTATGACATCAGGTTGGATATTACGTGTTCAAAGAAGTTTTGTCATGTAAACATAAACAATCAAATCCTGAAGACTTTGCTAAGACAAAAGGCTGTTTGACTTCAGCAGTTCTACCACAGCAGAGATTCAGAAGATCTTAAGTCTGGATTGTCACTCAGAAAACTGTTGTTTGCACGTGGTAGTCAGCATTTAATAACAACTTAAAACCATAGTAAACACAAATGTACTTAATTAGTACTAGGCTTCTTCTTAAAAAACTCAGATAGTTATATAAGGTAACTCTTTTGCCCTTAACGGAGTGGTACATATTCAAAGTAACCAGGAACAATAAGAAAATATATTGGACAAATATTTGCATTGGAAATTTACCTAGTGCCACTGTCTAGAACTGCTTGATTTAATAGCATGGGAGACTGTGAAGTTGATATTAAGATGACTATCTGTATACCGTACACAGGTGACTTCTACTACAGAAGAATGCATGGTAACATCTTGACTCAAAAAATGTCATATTTTTTTTCATAAAAACACAACAGTATTCAAGCTATATATTTTAATGCTTCTATTCTACAGATAGAACTTGCAAAAGAAGAGAAGTGTGAATTTCTGCCCTTCCTCTCCCCTCGGAAAGTTGTACTTAGAGGTAGACAAATTGTTGCTATGGAGTTTGTTCGAACTGAAGAAGACAATGATGGAAACTGGAAAGAAGATGAGGATCAGGTTGTCCATCTGAAAGCTGATGTGGTCATCAGTGCCTTTGGTTCCATTTTAGGCGACGCTAAAGGTAACCCTGACTAATGCATTCTGTAAATGCTGATGGTTATGGTAGCTGCAGCCATTTCCTGTCCTTTGACAGTTTTGTGAAATGAGTCTTCTGGAGATTACAAAGCTTGTAACAGCTGATCTCCTTCACAGGAATTTCTGTGTCCTGTAGATATACCTGTTAGAGCAAAACTTGAGGGTCTGATAACAAAGCAGTTTTATGTATATCGCTGTATAGAGCAGGGACTCAGATTAGAGATACAGTTGCTGAGTATATATCTTGCTTTCCTCTCGATGCAAATGGGATCTCAAAGAATACACTTGGGGATTTCTTCTGGTCTCATTAGCTTTGGAAAAACTCATTATACTACAACTTTGAACTGATCTGATCTCTGAAACCTTTTTTTTACCTATTAAATTAAGCAAGAATTAAGACAGATTCATTATTCTGGTTCAGCTGGTCTGGCTATCACTCATTTCTTGTGGTTCTCTCATATATGCAGTATTTGTTAAATTCACCTGTGCTTGTCTCAGGTTGTCTCATTACTTAGCTGCACTTTCCAAGCTTTGGTCTTAAAAATTAACAGTTACATAGCTCCAAAGATACAGAAATTGACACACAGACAGCATTTCAGAGATCGAACAAATTGTCTGGATGTAGCAGAAAGAGAGCTGAAGAACAACTAAGAATATGGGAATTGAGCAGAGCTCAGACTGTTCTGCTCTGACACTAGGTTAGATTTAAAGAGTTTAGGCACATACATCAAATGTGCCTAGAAAGTAAAAAACACTGACTCAGCAGAAGACAGTTTGATAAAATGAATAGATCTTCAGCCTTGGAGACACTCATCAAGGTTAGCAGGTTTTGAAAGCCTTAGTGATCAATGTGCCTACCTCTTCAGGGCATGGTCATGCCAGCCAATTACCCCATGACATGTTGTCATGGTCTTTTGGGTATAAATGCGCTGACATAGGACTTGGCAAATGCCTCAGAGTGCACATCACCAAAAAATTTGGTAATCAGATGCTGATTCTGCTAGTGCAAAGGGAATTTCAAAATTTCTTAGCATAATGTGGTTTTTGAATCTTTCAATCAAGGAAAATTGTAAATGTGAAATAATCTAAGCAGAGTCTAGTAGCATTTGTGGAGGCACATATAAAATGTATGACTTCTCACATTTGCATTTTCTGTGTATGCATTGTAGATAAGGCTGTTTTAAATGAAGTTAAAGAAATCAGTTTTCTTGTAGTAAGATTATCTAGAGTTATTGGTAGAATTATACAAAAAGTGTACTGACTTCACAGGATGACAAAACATTAGTTAATGAGATAAATTATAGGTCCTATTGAAGAATTTTAGAATATAGCCGATAGCAGATTTGTCTGTAGTCTGAATGAGCTACTCAGAGCTTCCTGTTCACCAGTCCAATTGTATATAAAGGTAAACCTTCATACAGCTGTGAGAAAAGCTGAAACTCTCTCCCACAGTAGAAAAGAAGGATCAACCTGGTTCCTTGAGGAATGTGTGAAGTTTATTCCAGGAGCATTCCTATCTTGTGTGTGTTACTATTGCTTTCGGATAGGTTCATGCAGCCTAGGTTGTTATCCAGAGAGCAGCTGAACCCAGCTACGTACAGTGCTGATTACTCAGGGCTGCCCCCTGCTCTAAAGGGCAGGGGAGGTGCAGTCTACCTCCCTGTGAGAGAACAGAGTCGCATTCCACTTGGAGATGTGTTACTGTATGAAGAGTCTGACATCTGTGTTGGTCATGCTTTAGGGCTCAGTCTAACCTCTAGGAAGCAGGGAGAAGAAGAATGTTTTTAATCTCTAAGAGATTCATGAGCTACTCCGTTGGTGGAGTTGACTTGAATGAGAATTTTGGAAAGTTTTGTTGTTGTTTTTGAAACCCTCTTTTTAGTTTTTTTTTTGGAAGCTTTTCTAGAACCTCATATGGGAAACCAAATATTAGCCTATGCAGTCAGTATATTTTGTTGTGATTCGCAGACCCTATCATAAAGGAGTAATTCTGTTTTCTCCCACATTAACATCTGCTTCAGCTAAAAGGTTGAACTTACCGTGTTGCTTAGCCATAATACTGTGCCGGTCTTGTATCTCCTAGTACTTGTTCACTGTCTGAATTATTTGTTATGAGGTTTTTAAAGAAGAACTTAAAATGGGAGGGGAACAAACTCCTGCAGTGAGCTAATCGTGAAAGAAGAGAGTCATTTACCTTGGGGGTGAGCAGTACACTTCAGTTTCACACTGTATTTTTGGTGAAACTGCTATTAGAATAACAAACAAATTACAAGGAAAAATGCAAGGTTTGGAAGTTGTGAAAGTGAAAAGAAACTAAGACTTGAGGGAATAAAATGTTTATTTCGAGCATACCATTTCAGTTGCTTTTAAATCTTTATTTTTTGACTAAGCTGTCTTAATGAAAGTCAAATTTGCTTTTCACCATTAAGCTGGATTACAACCAAATCTCCAGGCTACCTCAGCATACATAACAAAAAGAAATGAAAAAAAAAGCCAGCCACCAAAAGCATCTCATATTCATAATGGTTTTGTTTTTTATTTTCTAAAGGAAGTGCATTTTTGTATTCAAGAGATAGAGATATTCAGGTGTTCTCCATCAAAAGATGGAGGTGGAAATACTCGAGGTACTCAGAACTGGGCAATGCCATGAGCAAACAGATCTGACCTGGAACTTGATCTAACTTGATCTGGTCTAACTGAAAAAGGGGATGGACTAGGTGACCTTCAGAGGGCCCTTCTAGTCTGACTTATTCTGCAACTGGATAACTTGGATGCAGGTTGAATAAACGTGTCAACTGTTGCTCATGCAAAGAGCTCTATCAATTGACCTAATTCATAAGGCACCTCAGGGAACTGCAAATGCAGTATTGGTGTGGGCTAAGATAGCAAGATATGTCCTGTTTGTTATTAATATTGTCAAATTCTGATGCTACTGATGTAAGAATAGGGAAAATACTTTGAAAACCAGAGGGAATAATAACAGACTTAGCCCCACTTCAGGAGAGTGTTCAGGGCAGCCTTGATGCTCATATTTTAAAGTTTTGTTTAACAAGACGTACACACGTGGGTGACTGCTGTTCTAAGCAGAAATAGCTCATAGGTTAGAAAGCTTTTTCTAGTCTGTTATCCTCAACAAGATGTTTCTTGTTCTTGCATGGTAACTATTAAATTTGCAGCTGAGATTCTGTGTGCTAACGGTAGGTATTTAGTATTTTTTATTTTTTTTAAATAAAATGATGACTGTGTTTTTAAGCAACAGTACTAGTAGGTATTCATCTTCCCATTGAGAATCATATGAAAGCATCATTCATTTAAAAAAACTGGACTCTTAAGTCCATCTGATGCTCAGGAAGTTGCTCATAGACAAAACAGGAGAGTTGCCTTCTAGACTCTTTTAAGAACGTTACCACTTTCCTGGAACCAGTGAAAAAAACCCCCAACAAATCATTCAAATCAAACTACTGCAGGTGGAGTAAGAAAAATGTTTGCCTTCTTGTTGAAAAAAAAAAATTTTACAAGCACAAGCTGCTTTTTTTCACTGCATAGCTTACCAAAGCCTTGAAGCCATCATAACTGTCCCATATAAACAAAGCGTGGTGAGAGAATTTTGTACCTTTCCTTGTGTTCCTGCTCTTTTCCTTGGTTTGTTATTTTGGAGACCTACAATGTATTAGTGAATTACTGAAATATCTTCTGTCACCATTCCAAATTGCAACTACTCAATATATACAGATGTAATTCTCTGTACTCCTAGCACTGCGTACAGCCTCAACATCGTACCTGACACCAGTCCAGTTGGTTTTAAAGTCTGAACTTCAAATAAACACTTTCTTATCTACTTTGTTCTGATAAGCAAAAAGGAACAATATTTTTGGACTGTAAAATTTTGCACTGGAATAAATGTCCTTGTTCTGATTTATTTTCGTGAATTTCTGAGGACAACCTGGACTTTCTGAGGAGACCCATGGAGAAATTATGGAAAATAGTACACTTGTTCACAACGCATTACAAAATGCAGTGTGGGACAGGGGACTAAGGCAGGATAGGGAACTGGCAACATGAGTTCAGTTCAGTTCAACACTGTTTAGCAGGCAGCAGTAATGAGGAAGTATTCCCATTTACCAGAACACTAAATCTTAGCACGATAATGTTTATTGTATTTTCCTAGGGAGAATAAAAGGGGAATGCAAAAATATCAAAGCAAATGCCAAATACCACCTTTGCAAAAACGTCCAGAAACAGTAGCCTATTTGTGAGCAAAAATGTGTTTTATTAAGTTTTTGGTAGTAGCTAGCTATTGCATGGTAACTGAAGGGCAAAATTATATTTCATATTTCTGGGAATCAGTCACAACTTTCAGATATTTTGCTTTTACTTTTAGTATGACTGTCATCGTACTTGGAAACTGCAGCAGCAAACCACAGAAGGCTTATTAGAGTATAACTGCTGCCCCCCCCAGTATAGTTCAACAGACAGCAAAGATAAATTTGCACCAGTAGTTTGCAATTTTATTATTTAACCCACTTCTAGTTCATATTTATCTCTATAGATTGAGAAGGATTTGCTAGGGAAAAAGGGAAAACGCTTGCAGAGCTCTGAGCTTGTAAGTGAACAAGATTTTAGTTTTCCTTTGTACAAATACAGAAATTCAAGTGGTACAGAAGCCAGCGAATCTGCAAGGAGTGTTGAGTTTCTTCATACAGCCTGCTTGGACAACTAGGTAACTTCAACCTCAAAGCACTGAAGCCTTGACTATCTAAGAAAAGACTAGGAGGGAGGAAGAGAGGTGGCTGTGATGCCCCAGCTGGGAATGCCCACAGGGGTGACCTGGTGTTTTGCTAGTAGCACAGCATCTGCCTTGCACCCACAGAACAGACTTTTAGTCACCAGATTTTTTTTTTTTCAGAAATGTTATATAAAAGTGAAATTTATCTAGATTTAAATGATTCGTAGTGAAATAGGTAGGAGTTTTCCT